ACCCGTGTGAATTGTAGCCTCAGTTTCCTCTTCTTAGCTCACAGGAGTGGCGCCTGGTGTGGTCTTCTGCTGCTGTAGGCCATCCGCCTCAAGGTTAGACATGTTGTGCGTTCAGAGATGCTCTTTAGCATCTTCACTTGGACAGGTGTGCTCTTAAGCATTAGCAGTTAGACATGTGTACCTAATAAAGTGGCCGGTGAGTGTATATGCTATTGCAATATTAAGTAACATTTTGAAATATCTTTTGGTTTTGGTCAGTGGAGAAAATATATTCTAAATTCAACAGGTCAGAACATATTTTCACTGGAACATTTAGTTCAATCCCTTTGCTCTCAGTTTGATTAGCTTTGGCCCTCATTCACATAAATTGCCATTGGAATCAATGCTAAAATCTCCAGTCAACTAAACAGCTAATCTCTTAACATCCACTAAAACACATCCTGTGTTTAAACACCCATAATCCATCTAGACTCAGGATTTAAGTGATTTCATCCACAGAGGAGCTTAACTTTGAATCACCAATGTCAAAACCACAAAATCACCCTGAGCGCCTTTATACTGACACTGCAGCCAGATGGCTAGCATTGCAATCATGCTAATATTGGCCTCAACAAACAAACATGATCTCCTCCGCCCTATCCCTGCATGATGGGATTACTTGTATTGCAGAGATCAGCAGACAGAGATCCAATGTGCTTCAATTCACTTGCTATGTTCATTGTCCTTGCGTATAGCACAATCTAGGCATCAGAACAGAGGGAGATTTTGAAGATACGCAGATTCAGTTTGGTGCCATATTGAACCCTGTCTCTGCTTTGTCTTTGCAGTCTCACATCTGATAGAGACAAATGCACTTTACAGGGAATAATGCTGATAAGAATGAGAATACGCTTCTTCTGTATAAATATTAGAGCTGAAGGGCTTTCATTTTTATGTGAAGCGTTAGCATAACACCACATTAGCTTAACATTCATTCATTCATTTTCCTTCAGATTAGTCCCTTTATTAATCAGGGGTCACCACAGCGGAATGAACCGCCAACTTATCCAGCATATGTTTTACACAGTGAACGACTCAAACCAGCAACCTTTTTGCTTTGAGGTGACTGATAACCACTGAGCAACCATGCCACTCATTGACGTTAAATAATGGGGGGAAATAAACAAACACAATAGGAGTAATGGAATATACAATAAGTAAAAACTGCAGTTGACATTATGCCACAATTGCAACTTTGATTTCTTAGTTATTTTACACTGTTTCTTACAAATACTGATCTTTCTTTCATGCATTTGTGCCTATATGTATTATTATCTGACTTTATAGTTTGAAATTGCTATTTTTATTTTAATTGTGACAATATATCTGTATATATGACTCTCACAAGTTTGCCTTTTTAAAAAATGTAATAGTTTTTTTTTATTATTCAACATTGGGACATAAAATGCTGTTGCTGTTTTTATTCTCTCATACAGTAATTGGCACTTTGGCTGTTGTATCTTATATTTTTGCATTCTATTTTTCATAATCGTGACTTGTATCTTACATTTTAGTTTTTCCCACATAATTGTGGCTTTATATTGCACAATACACTACTTTTTCACATAATTGAGACTTTGGATGTCAGAATAAAATTTTTGACTGTTAAATTCTGACCTTTTTTTCATATTTGCAAATTGATGTATCAAAAAAAGGCATAACAACTGAGGCATTAAACTATTTCTCACAAATGACTTGTTTTCCTCTCGGAATTATGATACTTCCAGCCTGATCTCACTTGAAACATAACTATTTTACATTTTTGCAGTTTAGTGGTTAATTCGTACAAATTCAAATGAGTTTAATTGTCAGAAAATGTAGGATTTTTAACAGGAGGTGTGACATTCAACCCTTCCCCTAAACCCAACCGTCATTGGGGATGAGCAAATCAAACTAAATTGTAAAAATGAGATACGAATTCACAAGAATTATCCACTAAATCAAAAAGTTACAAACTGCCATGAAATCATGTTGGATATATGACTCATTTTCCATTTTTTTCCACACCATATATTTTGCCTTTTTTTCATAAATGCGACTTTACATCACAAAATATGTTTTTTTGTTCTTGAACTTTAGCTTTTTTCTTGTAGTTCTAGTAGAATTTTTCTATTTAATATTATATTCCAAAATTGCTGCTTTGTTCTAGTAATTGAAACAGTATATTTAAGTATTGTAACTCATTTTTTCCACAGTGATGGGTTGCAGCTGGAAGAGCATCCGCTGCGTAAAACATATGCTGGATAGGTTGGCGGTTCATTCCACTGAGGCGACCCCAGATTAATAAAGGCACTAAGGCGAAGGAAAATGAATGAACCTTTTTTTTTGTGGCTTTATATGTTTGTATGATATAATATATATCAAAAATGTCTATGAATAGTGATGTTTTACTATAATTTGAACCTATATTTAAGACAAACGCCAAAAATCTCAGCTAAAAAGAGAGAGAGAAAAACAGCACAAACAAAACGGAGAGAGCTAATCCATTTTAGCAGAGGACCAGCGGGCACAGTCAGGCTCAGGTGTGACGGGCACAGAAACGGGCAAACACACACACACACACACACACACACACACACACACACACACACACACACACACACACACACACACACACACACACACACACAAACACACACACACGACAGAGCTAGGAGCTTTGCACGTCATTGAAGCAGGTGTGTATGATGATAAAGAGAGTGATAGAGAAAGATGAACACGGTGTCATTACAAATACCTTCATATCTGTGGGCATGTGTGTTATTTATTTGTGTTCTACACATTGATAGCTTTTAACATAATGTATTAATAACATACACGCTTCTTTCTGGGGCGTCACGGTGCTGCAGTGGGTAGCATGATTGCCTCACAGCAAGAAGGTCGCTGGTATGAGTTCCGACTGGGTCCGTTCGCGTTTCTGTGTGGAGTTTGCATGTTCTCTCTGTGTTGGCGTGGGTTTCCTCTGGGTGTTTTCCCAACAGTCCAAAGACATGTGCTATAGGTGATTTAAATAAGTTAAAATGGCCGTAGTGTACAGTATGTGTGTGAATGCAAGAGTGTATGGGTGTTTCCTGGAGTTGGGTTGTGGCTGGAAGGGCATCCGCTGCTTAAAACATATGCTTGCTAAGTTCCACTGTGGCAAACCCTAATTAATAAAAGGACTAAGCTAAAAAGAAAATGAATGAATGAATGAATGAATGAAGCTGCTTTCTGGCTAATATAACAGGGGTTTACTGTGTATGATGCAGACACAAACAAAGACATAAGCTGTCATCAACTGCATTATGATTAAGAATTAAATACAAACAAACAAAAATTTCTGTGCACTTTAAATACTAATAATTTTGCCTTTTTAAAAAAAAACTTGCTTTGATATAACATAAATAATGATATATTCAGATATCTTGAGAAGTATTTCATGACAGTACTGTTTTTAACGTATTAATCAAATAAATGCCACCATGTTTTAAGATTTAACAAATCTCATAAATCTTCAAATAGTGTAGATGCTACTTACATTTTTTGAGTAGAAATGGGTAAATAGTGTCAAATATTCACATAAAATTGAAACTAAACATATGCTATTGTTTTATGCTAAAGTGCTAGTTATAACAGACAGATTAATAACTCCTAATAATTTTAAAGAGCCCCTATTATGCATTATAAAATGCCATATTTTGGTTTTGGGCGTGTCCAACCACAGGCTAATATGCATGCAAGGTCAAAAACCACTTTCATTTTCTTATAATATGCATTTATTTTACCTAAATACACCAACTATGATTCGTTCAGCGATTCATTTGTTCTCAAAGCCCTCCTTAGCACGATCCTAATCTGCACTGATTGGTTCAATGACCCAGTCTGTTGCGATTGGTTGACTGCGTTCAGCGTGAGACAGAGAAAAATGCCCAGCATGGCTGATCAACATTGTTGAAGTAGTCAGTGCAGAGTGTATATGTGAGCCCAAAGCAGGAGTGCAATAAAGCAATGCAGTTTAACACCAGCATATTGCTCTATTCTTAACCATGACACACATTCAGTATTAATCCACACAGTTGCAAAAGCTGAATTATTTTGAAACTTGACCGGTGCACACATGTAGGAACAGCTGACGGTGGCCATAGCAATGACAAACTGCAGAGGATTGCGAGCTCACAAACGCATTTAAATCTGTAAACAAAGCAGCACGCGTTGCGTTTTCAAGATGGTTTTAGACACAATATGAGAATATACAGGGTTAACCATATACAGTAAAACCCGCGTGGATTGGTTACAAATAACAAAACACACTTTCATACATAATGTGCAAGCTAGAAAAAACAAGGAGGCAACCATTTTAATCACACTCAAGTTACTTACACTTGTGAAAGAGAGCCAGAAACTGATCCATGAACTATGTACTGTAAAGTTCCTGTTGAGCTCTGATCCTTCCTTTAACAAACGGCAGACAAATCCCTCAATGTAAGCGTGTAGATTGCTGAAGCACTCATCAGAAAAATGACCGGAAACACAGCCCAGGGCTGGGGCTATAATGCTGATGTATTTTTGCAAAAATAAACTTCAACCACTGACTCTTTGGGTAGGGAAAATAACACTAACTTTCCCTCACACTTCAGAGCACAGCATCTTCACGACATTATTCAACCGGGATCTGCTACAGTGTTTGTCTACCTCTTCTTTCTACAGTGTTTGTGGGTGGGGGTTTCAATTTTCCCGGGTTTGCACGCAACAAATGGACGGGGCTTGGGTTCCATATCAACGTCACGCCGACATGGCTAAAGACTCGTTACAGCAGCGATTCATTTGAACCAGTCTGAGTTGACTCTTTTATAGATGAATCAATAGTTTTAAACATGGCACACTTTTTTGAAAACTCATAATAAGGGCTCTTTAAACAGTGTAAATTTGTGAAAAAAACAAACAATGCTTATCACAGGTATAAATGTTCTCTTTTTCTGCAGAGATTATGAATGATGTCATCAAGAAGGTGAAGAAGAAGGGAGAATGGAAGGTAAGACAAACACATTCACACAAACACACATTCACAACATCACACTTCTAATCTTTCATCGAGTCCCAGGAAATATGTGTGAATAATTAAGCCCAAACTATTTCATCCATCCTGCCATGCCCGTTTTACACAGCATGCATATTTATTCCAGTGGCATATCTCCAAATAAATTCAAGTGTGTATCTGCACAAACTTAGTTTCTGAGTTTTCTAATTGTTTTTCTCTCTGTAGGCTTTGATAGTGGACCAGCTCAGCATGAGGATGTTGTCGTCCTGCTGCAAAATGACTGATATCATGACAGAGGGCATCACTAGTAAGTCGATGCTCACATACTGACCTGTTTTCAAGCAACTGAAAAAATAAGCTTTTGCAAATAGTCAACAACTCCAAGTCGCTTAATTTAGAATTAATGTAACGTAAACTCATTTGAATGCTGAGAAATGGTGGCCAGTCAAACATAACTTTTCATATCAGTAAGCTAACTAAGCATATATACGTCACAGAGACGTCTGCGAGTGAATAGATCTTGAATGCATCAAACTACGTTCAATTTAGCAACAGGCAACTTTGTACAGAAACACTAATGGAGGCCAGCTAGTGAAGTGTTGTGCAGGTAAAGCTCACTTCTCTGACCACAATAGGTGTTCTAGTGACAGAGGGGAATCTCCTCATCCACCACCAGTGTGCAGCATACACCTGGATGATGCAATGGTAGCCATTTTGTGCCAGACCGCACACCACACACTAGCTGATTGGTGGAGAGGTGACCGAGTGATGCAGTTATGAAAATTATGAAATGGGGAGGCAATGATGGACAGAGGCTTGTTGGCAAATTTGCCTAGGAAACCCCTACTCTTTTTCAAAGGACATCCTGGGATTATTAACAACCACAGAGAGTCAGGACCTCTGTTTAACGTCTCATCCGAAAGACAGCGCTCACTGAGCAGTATAGAGTCCCCTTCATTATACTGGGGCATTAGGAACCTCGCAAACCACAGGTTGAGCGCCCCCTGCTGGCCTCACTAACACCAAGTCCAACAGCAATCTTGCATTACCATGTGGTCCCCCATCCAGGTACTGACCTGGCACAGCCCTGCTTAGCTTCAGTGGGCGACCATGTGAGAGTTGCAGAAAGCTAGCTGCTGGCGGTGATTAAAAACATTCACAATTTAGCTAACCATCACATGTGACCAATTACTCTCTTCAAAGAACTAATTTGACTAATCAACAAACTTGGCATGTTGCTAGATTAAACTTTCATAAAACCACCAATAATGATGTAGCTGTAAAATTAGTTCTCAATATAAACGAATAGCACATGTCATACAATAAATGAACAATAGTGACACAGAAATCACGTTTACAATAGTTTTTCTAACTAATAAACAAGAAAAATATTAGACATCATTTGAAGTAGTGGTGCACTTTCTCACAACACACCTCATTACAATCACATCACAATCAAGAGCACTTTCAACTACATCTACACTGAAAACTCTAATAAGTTGACTGAACAAAATTAATTGAATGAACTTGTTGCCTCAATTTAATTGAGTCACGGAGTCTCCCAAAACTTGCATATTTAAGTTTATTTAACTTGCCGGTTTGGTAAATTATACTAAAATTGTTCAGATCAGTGTGTGTGTCTGTGTGTCTAACTATATACTATGAAAAAAATGTTTCAAAGAAAAATAAGTAGCCATTTATTCCCATTATAGTGAATAATTATACATGAAGCCTTGTTTTCTGATTAAAAAAAAAACCTAAAAGGTTGCACACATTAGAATCTGACAGTCAAGACTACATTAAAAACGACGATTTTTTTTTTAAGGGATTAATTGTGATTTTAAGCTTACTTTACTTAGAAAATCTTGAGCTTATGCATTTTCATTGTATATAAGTTATATTAACTCATAATTTTAGCTGACAGGACCAAAATGCCACATTTTAAGTAATGTTCAGTCAACTTTAGTTGATTTTTTAAGTAAATACAACATTAGGGTTTGCAGTGTAGAAGTACAGTAGGCAAAAGCTCAACATGTTTTCCTGTGACTGACCTGTTGTTTGTACCTTCATCTCTGCAGTTGTTGAAGACATCATGAAACGGAGAGAACCTCTTCCCTCACTGGAGGCCATTTACCTGATCACCCCAACTGACAAGGTACTCAAACACGATGCTAAATAAAATAAATAACAACTCTAGCCTAGACTTCAAGTGTGGAGTAAGAATCTTCACACTTTACACACTATACATACAGTACTGTGCAAAAGGCTGCTAGTATTTTCACAAAAAAACTAAGATTTATTGTCGGTTATTTCTATATTTTTCTGATTTGAAAAATACATTTACATTTCCAAAACATTATTTTGTCATTAATTGTAATTCTGACTACAGCCAGTGTTCTACACAGAGATCTTTTCTGATCATCATCCATTATGTCTGGAATGACTTACTAACTAAACTAAATCCAGAAGAACTCTGGCAACATCTCAAAGATGCTTCAACAAACGACCTGCAAAGCTACAGTACTGTTCTAAGTTTTAGGCACTTGCTGTACAAATGCTATAAAATGAGGACGCTTATTTTAAAAAACAAAACGCATTTAATTTATCAATTGCCTTCTATAAACTGAATCAAATCAACATTTTGTATGACCACACTTTGCATTTAAAACACTTGGTACACTTGCCCATATTTTGCAGATTTGGGTTTTGGGTAAAAATACTAGTAGCTTTAGACTTTTGCACAGTACTGTATGTCACTCATTAACACATACACAGACACATTATTGACTAACAGCCTCTTCTCATTTTTATTGGCCACAGCGGTTCCAATAAAAAACTCTGATCTAAAGCTTGTTGTGCTTCTCTTACCAGTCTGTGCAGACTCTCATCAATGACTTCAAAGACCCCCATTCAGCCAAGTATAAAGGAGCTCATGTGTTCTTCACTGACTGTGAGTATCAGAGGGTTCTTCACTGCACTTCAAGGGCCCTGCAAGTGTAGTATGCACTACAGCATTAATGTGACTATGCTCAATACAACACCACTAGACCATCACTCAGCAAGATGAGTATTTTATGAATCTTATTTTAAAACAATGAAGTGTTAGACAGAAAGATGTCTGAAACTATTGGTTTGGGATACTAAACAACACATATGAATAAATCTGTAATAAAATTAATCCTTATAGATTTTAAGGCTTTGTATAATACATTTATATATTTTTTCTAGATACCTTTCTTGTCATAAACAATTATGCATACACATCTAATGTAGTATAAATAAAATAAGATTTTTTAAAATAATCTAAAATGTATTTAAGTCATGATTTTGTTTATATTTATTATTTGTTTTATTATTTATTATTTTATTTATTATTTTTAAAATTATTTAGATTTGCACTGTATTATAATGTTCGTATGATTTGTATGGTTTGTATAAAATATCCAAAAATAAATAAACATTATATTTGTATATATAAAATATATAATATATAATAACTGTATTATAATAAACATTAAACTCCTTCATATGTTTTATGATTTTTAAATGTATACAATATTCTGCATGTTTATATTTTAGAATTTTATTATTTATGTTATATATTATTATAAAATTACAATAAACCATGTTTATACATTACAATAAAAAAAACTAAAATATAGTAATAGGTAAAACTTTTACAGTTCTGTCAAATGTATATAAAATCATATGTTTTGTGTATATTTATTCTTTTATCAAAAATAAAAATTAAATATATTTTATACACTACAAAGCAAAAATAAAATATAGTAATATGTGAAGTTTAACATGTGTAACCTTTAACACAGTGCTGTCAATGCTTCAAATGTTTTTCAGCTTGCCCTGACCCCCTGTTTAATGAAGTGGTGAAGAGCCGTGCCTCCAAAACCATTAAAACCCTAAATGAGATCAACATCGCCTTCCTGCCCTACGAGTCCCAGGTGAGCCATTTCAGATAAAAATAATAACAGTCCATGTTAGCTTCATGTCACACTACACAGGTCGTTTCTGGGTTCAAACACTCGCCAAAAGTAGTAATACATGCTCATAATGTCCTGGAATAATGTTAAAAAATCTTGATCTACATTATTGCCATGATTTTGTAAAAAAATTTAGAATATGTGATATGACTTAGGGCTGTGCAGAATGATATATATTATACGGACAAAATACAAGTCTAGCGTTTCATATTATATTCTATTTTTTATTTCGTAGTGTCACAAAAATATATTGTTTTCGGTAATACATTTTCAAAATTTAGAAGACCGTGATATTACACACAGATGCAGACAGAAACATGAATAACAGCATTATGAGAAATTTGCTATCTTGTAAGTACACTGAAAAAAAAATCCATTATTTTATGGGGTTTTTATTTTGGCTGTTTGGGTGCTGGAAAAAATGTAAAATAATGTCAGTTAAATAACAACAATAATAATTGACTGTAAAATAAGGGACGTTAAATTACAGAAATGTTCTGCTGAATTGAATTATGGTACATTTCTTTAATTTAACATCTTTTATTTTACGGTAAATTTCTGTAATTTAACAGCCGTTATTTATATATACAGTAGCCTACTGCCGGAAAAAAAGAGAAGTAAAATAACAGATTTTTTTCACAGTGTACAATGTTTACATGTTGTGTTTTATTTAGCATTTGTTTCCTATGTTGTACGTGTAATCATTCATTTTTTTTAAACGGGTTTTATATTTTTATCAAAATGTATTTCATATTATCATATTTTTTAACAAACATTTGCCCCGAAGTTCTTAATAAAGTCAGAAATACAATCTCATATGAATAAGTATATTTCTGAGATTATACTTTAAAATGTTATAGTCCTAAATAGTCTTTCACATGTGGTCAATATACAGTCAAGCCCCAAAATGATTCATACCCCTGGCAAATTCTGACCAATTCCGACTGATTTATCCAGCAAGTTTTTCTTGACAGGAAATGACACAACCTTCTTTTAAAAGGTAATAAGATGAGGTACAATAGGCATCATTGTGGAATTTTTTTTTCTCAGCTTTATTTACATTTGAAAAAACATTTTAGGTCAGAATTTGCACGGAAATTTAGAAATTGTGGCTTGACTGTATTTATTAATTAACTAAATTTACAAAAATAGTACTATATTGTGATATATGAAGAGCTCACAGGCAAAAACCTCTAAACTCTATCTGAATTTTTTTTCTCTAAAATTAGCATTTTTCGCAAACTCCTTTGTGTATGTTCAGTGAATCCACTTTTTTTTAACAAAAAATAGATTCTTTGCATTGCCTTTAAAGTGAAATTACTGCACAAAAATATTGGAGGCTGAGAAAAATGTTCGTTTTAGAGGATCATTTCAGATGACACTTTGAGCTTTTTGCATCTGAACTCTTCATATATCATTTTCAGGATATGAGATGACTTACAGTTGAAGTCAAAATAATTCGCCCTCCTGTGAAATTTCTTTTCTTTTTCAAATATTTTCCAAATAATGTTTAACAGAGCAATGCATTTTTCACAGTATCTCAATATTTTTTTTCTTCTGGACAAAGTCTTACTTGTTTTATTTTAGCTAAAATAAAATCAGTTTTTTTATTTTTTAAAAGCTATATTATTAGCCCCCTTAAGCAATATTTGTTTTGAATGTCTACAGAACAAAAAACTGTTACACAATGATTCGCCTAATTATCCTAACTTGCATAAATAACCTAGTTAAGCCTTTACATTGCACTTTTTAAGCTGTATAAAAGTGTCTTGAAAAATATCTAGTCAAATATAATTTACTGTCATTATGGCAAAGATAAAATAAATCAGTTATTAGAAATGAGTTATTAAAATGTTTTGAAATGTGTTGAAAAAAATCTCTCCATCAAACAGAAATTGGCTAAAAAAATAAATAAACAAAAATACAGGGGGGAAGGCTAATTATAATTATAATTAGCTATAATTATAAAGGCTATAATTCCGGAAGGCTAATAAATCTGTCTTTAACTGCATATCATGAGATTGTTGTCATATTGCACAGCCCTAATATGACTAAACAGTTCTCTCAATCCAAATGATTATAGTGGCTTGGATCCAGAAAAGTCAATAAGTCACAAAATATAGAGTTGGAGAAGCGATCTAAGGCTGGGGGGTGATGCAGGCTGGCCCATAATGCCTTGCTGCTGAGGCTGTCTGCTATGATTAATTCAGTGGAGTCAGAGGAACGCTGCGTTTCTCCTGGCGTGATGCTGCAGCTCTGTGTTTAGCAAACCCACTACGCTTTGAGACATGTGATTGGCCGGCGCAGCGTTCACAGAGATGCTCCGCCAATCAGACGAGGTTAAGAGAGGGAATGAGCCATCTGCTGAACAGAAGGACAGTCATGTGACCGTGTGTGTGTGCTGATAAGGGGCGAAAAGGGGGGTTGTAAAGACCTATGCCGATCCACTCTCTGTTAACATGGGTTGAGCTACAGGAAATATAGAAAGGCCTGAAAGCATGACCTGGAGACACGTCACTCAACTAGAAGCTCATAAATAGTAATAATGTTTGGAAACAGGATGTGGAGATGAGCTCATTTTGTGGCATTCGCACAAAAGATGGTGACATGCCTACAAAAGAGCTGTCATTAATCATTTAGAAATATACAGAATTTAATATATTCTACCTGGTTATTGAAAAATCTGGAAAAATGCACTATAGATCAGCTTTTCTTTTTAACAAAATGTAAAACAGTCTTCAGAATATGTCTCTGAAGTTCATTCATTAATTTTCCTTATTTTGTTTTGGCTCAATTTGGAATTGAACCAAAACATAATAACTGTATGCAGCAAGCAATCTTTACATTGAAACTGACTGGACAGAAAGACATTGATAATGTTACATAAGATTTATTATTTGATTTTATTATTTATGATTACATTTATTATTACATTGATTATTTGCAAAAACTTGCAGCAATATATCGTCACGTTTAATATATTATTTAATTTGTACCCATAACAAAGGTTAATTTCACTTTAACCATTACATATTAAAGCATATGTTGTCCATGACTGTTAGATTCCCTAGAAAAAAAACTGTTTATTTCATTAGAATTTTTGTTCTATTGAATTTATTCATGCTTGTTATTTAAATATTTGTTTATTTATTTATGCAGATCAAAAAAATCTAAAATCTAAATCAGCCTAACCGTGTATATACATATATATATATATATATATATATATATATATATATATATATATATATATATATATATATATATATATATATATATATATATTAGAGATGCGCGGATGGGCTATTATTTCATCCGCAACCGCATGACAAAATTCATCATCCGTCCGCCATCCATCCGCACTAACATTTTTGACCAATTTTTAAAACCGCACCCGCCCGCCATCTGCTGATTGGGCTCTTTATTTGAATGGCTTATTCCTTTTTTATTATTAAATGAATGTTTCTTTATTGATCATTATATAATAGAGAATGACTTTAATGTAGACATGCAGTTAATCCAAACGTGCAAGTCATTAATTGACGATGCTTTGAAGTTACGCTAAAGATACGAGGACGTGTCTTTTCACTTGATTCGATTCCTCGGTCCTTGAGTCTTTTCGCGTCCTTCCCTCGTAACGTTATCCCAGTGGGGTGGAAACACGAGGAAAGAAAGCAAGGAAAGGAAACGAGGATGCACAAATAAGAAATGAGAAGCACCCGAGCTCTCAGAATATCAGCAGTGAACTCCGTCTCCAATCGGCGCACAGGGACAAAAATAAATAAATAGCCTAAATTAAACGCACTGTACTATACAACTTTTTTTTTTATTGTAGCCTAATAGAAAACGCATTGACAAATCATTTCAACATGCTGCTATTTAGCCTACTACTAAATGCCTATTTCACTTTATTTTTTAGTAAATAGATAGAATAATAAGTCATTTACATTATAGCCTAATAATGTTTACATTTGTAGTTGTCCATAGCAACCCCAAAAACGTACCTCCTTGCCTTGCACATCTAATTAATGGGCACAGTTTTTCGACTATTTTTTATTTTTTGCTGTGGATGTTATTGAGCTTGTAGAAATCGGAAACAACACAGTTCTGCGACACAGATGAACCTTTATTGATATCTCTATCAGACAATACCTATTTTGTATGCCAAAAGAAACAACAGGCAGTAAAAAAAAAATTAACATAAATATCTTAATGTAGGCATAGGCTATTGTCGCATGCTTTGGCAAACAGTTGAAAATTTTTTAATAAAAACGTCATATCGTGCCTTTTAGGCTCATCCACCCCCACAATTAGAAATTAAATTAGAAAAATAGATATGCCATCCCTCTTTGAGCGAACCTGACCAGGCTAAAGTGCATGAATGACAAGTGCCCCAATAACCCATTCCCCTTAAACTTGAAGCATAACGAAATACTACGCCATTAAAGTTGCGACAAAGAAATTCTGGCAAAATAACCTTAGCCTCGGAACGTAAAAGCGAGGCCAACATGTCTAGAATAGAATAGGCTAAACCAATATGAACGTAAAATTATCAGCTGACCGAACTCAAAAATTTATATTGAACATATGTGTAGCCTAAATAACATAGGCTAATTGGTTTAATATGCCTGACCTTAGGTCTAGTTTGATTTTTTCTTGGCACAATGCAGGAATAAAATAGCATTTGTGTCAGGATTCAGACGGGAGCGCCTGCATAGCCACTATAATGCGCCCTGCTGCACTGAAGGAGCGCTCGCTCACAGCACTTGTTGCTGAAATGCATAGAATTCTCTTGGAAAGGTGCTGTAGTCGTGGGAATGCCTGGCCTTATTTCTCCCAAAAGGAAAGTAGATTTTCCTCTGCTGATCCGTCTATACGGAAGTTTGTAGAGGTATACTTCTGTACTTCATCCAGAATTAGTGTATCCGATTACTCCTCCCATTCTGAGAAGTCAGTCCTAGGCTTTTTCGTTGGTGCGCCAGCTATTAATATAAAAACAGTACAACCGCCCGCCACCCGCCCGAATTTAATTAATATATTATTTTTTCGTAACGTCATCCGCCCGATCCGCGGTTTATCCACGGAGTCCGCGGCTATAACCGCCAACCGCGCATCTCTAATATATATATATATATATATATATATATATATATATATATATATATATATATATATATATATATATATATATATATATATTAGGGTTGTTGCGATACCATTAATTCACATTACGATACTATACCCGCTGAAGTATAATGATACTAAGTAGTATTGTGATACTGTAATTCAAAACTGAAATCTATGAAAGAAAAAAAATAGTCAGAAATACAGTATGTTATTACAGGCTTACTTGAATTAAATAATTATTACCTTATTTTTGAAAAAAGAATTTGCACATCACTTCACCTAACTTATTTTGTAGATAACTGACCAACAACAAAAAAAAAAACATTAAAATGAAGATACAAATTATACCAATGAAATTAGTTACAAAAAAAGCATTTTTTTTCAACAATAGTAGGCTAAATGAAGTGGTCAAAAATTGTTTCAATGGTTTACTGTTGCTCTTTTGGGTTTTTCATCTATTGCTTTTTTTAAAGTCTTGTCAGGTAAAAATCCAAAGTAATTAAACATTTCACTTTGTGAGTCGCTCTTTTTAAGAGATTGTTGTGGTTGTTGAAGCTGCAAAATCACATTGACAGGAACAGAAATGTACTGATTCAGATGTGAGTTTGAACTGAAACGTCAGAAAACGTGCAATAGGCTAGTATAAAAGGTGCAAAATCTACACAGTTTTGCAACCTTAAAAGGGCTCCACAGAATACTCAAATAAAATAGTCTATTGTTGCACAAACGTGTGAGCATTTTAGTGACTTTTCCACATGTAACATTATCTATTGTAGATAAACCATTAATGACAATCCTACCATTTACAAACTACAGTGGCACCGCCAGTATTTTGGAGCTGTAGTATGATGATAATACCATTGTACCGGTAAACAGTGCAACCCTAATATATATATATATACATATATATATATAAGTAAGAAATAAGTAGCTAGATTTTAAGAGATTATATATATATATATATATATATATAATCTCTTAAAATCTAGCTACTTATTTCGTCAAATCAAGTCAAGCTTATATCGTATATGCAAAAATTCAATATTGTGGATCAGCACGCTTGCGAATGATTTAAGCACATTCAAAAATGTATTTAGTTAAACCTGCCCCTGAACGTTTCATTATTAAAACAAAACTAAAACACAAAAAGTGTCATTTGCTTGGCCATCAGTAATGAGTTTGACTGTGTGTGTGTGTGTGTGTGTGTGCGTGTTTAGGTGTTTTCTTTGGACAACCCTGACGCCTTCCAGAGTTTCTACAGCCCTCATAAGACACAGCTGAAGAACCCTGTGATGGAACGGCTGGCAGAGCAGCTGGCAACTCTGTGTGCCACACTGAAGGAGTACCCGGCCGTCAGATACAGAGGGTGAGCCACGGTCAACACAGCCATTTACACATTTAACAGTAGCTTTTGTTCAAAAAGACTTACGATTGAGGCCACAGAGTTATTACAACACACTTCTTACAACATATGACCTAATGATTCTAATGATGCAGTTCCACATAAATCTACCACTCAAACGTTTGGGATCAGTAGGATTTTTGCTCACACTTTATTTGAACGTAAAATTCACTCTATTAACAAAGCATTAATGAAGACTATAAACTTAATAAATTACTGATTTGCTGCTAATTAATAGTGAGGTAGTAGTTGGGTTTAGGGGGTAGCAATTTTAGCTTAGCTTAGCATAGATCAATGAATCGGATTAGACCGTTAGCATCTATTCATATCGGCCTGAAAACAGCTAAATTTCTTTTTCATTGGTCATAGCACCCAATAAAACTAAGGAGAGTCAGGCTTCGGACCAATCAGCGCAGATTAGCTTTTTGCTAAGAAGGGGTTTGGGAATAAATGACTTTTAACTAACTTTAACTAACTTTTATTTTAGTTTAGCATAGATCATTGAATTGGATTAGACCGTTAGCATCTATCCATATTGGCCTGAAACAGCAAAATGTATCTTTTATCCGTGTTAGTACAAAATAAAACTTCATAAGAGTCAAGCTTCAAATGTGAAAATGATGGAAACTCGTTGAGCGAGACACTAATGGTCTAATCCATTTCAATGATCTATGCTAAGCTAAGCTAAAAATTCTCCCGTTAGACCCAGAGATTCACTAAGATCAAGTGTTAACTCTTGAAATGAGCCCATTTTCATAAAAATGAGGAGTGCTCCTTAAAAACATGTGGAAATCTTATACTGATCCCAGTTCGGTAGCGTATACAAGTGTATTTATTAAACAAACACACACTTACAGCAGGAATGAGTGGATAAGACAGATGTCCAGTAGTCTCGGATCATAAGATCTGTCTTTGCTTTTGTCTGTCTGCTTTAATGCTGTGATTCTCTGTGCACATGCAGGGAGTATAAAGATAACGCCACTCTGGCTCAGTTGCTTCAGGACAAACTGGACGCCTACAAGGCAGATGATCCTACAATGGGGGAGGTGAGAGCCACATCTCTGTTATTGCACTGCAGGGAGAGAGAAAACACAATACATGTACAGTTGAAGTCTGAATTATTAGCCCTCTTGAATTATTAGCCCCTTGTATATTTTTCCCCCAATTTCTTTTCAGCGAAAAGAAGATTTTTTTCAACACATTTCTAAACAATAGTTTTAATGACAAATTTCTAATAGTGATTTATTCATCTTAAGGTGCCTCATTTTAAAAATGAGGTGCCGGATCAGATTTCAGAGGTGCTGGATCTGGCGTGTTTCAGCACAAATTAAGCCCTGATTTTGACCAACTGTACACTATGAAGAGCTTGAATAAGCGCTTCTGGAGTATAAACAGAGCAGCGATTGATTTACAGGGAAACATATTAAATGTGTTTCATGAGAGCAATAGATGTTGCTTTTGGTCAGTCAGATGTGTAAGGAAGAAAAATAAGTATCATACAACAAGAGGGAATATAAGCAGGTTCCTGCAGGGTTTTGGAAATGCATATAAGCAAAGTAATAATTTAAAATTGATAAGTTTCAAAGACTAATGCAAAACACTGCAAATGAAGAGGGTAAAAAATGTGATTATTAATATTTATATATTTATATTTATATAATATAGTTTAATATATTAATAATAATAACACATATGATATTTAATGAGTTAAATAATTGTTTATTATTATTTATCTATTATATAAATTTACAATTAATTAATTATTAAATAATTATTATTTTAAAAAGCACAAATTTCCCTACATTTCTTGCACAAAAACAGTTCAAGTTTCTCTTATTCAAAATACTTTTTTTTTTTTTTTTTTTTTTTTGGGCCATATTAGATTTAAAGGCTTTCACAAAAGATATAAATTTTTGGCATTTTTTTTCATGTAGAATGAAATGTTGTATATAATTAGACAAAATGTGTATAAACATATTTCTCTGTATCTTTCAGAATAATAAAGTTATTAATAAAATGTTTGGTCTGTTAGTACTGCTAAGGTTTTATGGCTCAATGAGAAGAAAGAACTGCCTTTAAAAATATGTATTATAATTGAAACGTGAAAAAATGAGACAAAATAACAAATAAAAGTGTCTTATTTCCAGTAGACTAAAAAAGCACTTTATGGAAAACCCAAAATAACAACCAATGCATAAAAAATGCAGTATTGACCAATATTGCTGTAAACTAATCATTGCTTTGACTTGGTCTCATTTCTGTACTTTTTCCCCCCATATAGAGAAATTTGAGCTGCTTATTTACGCTTCATTCCTACCCCAGCTATGTTTGTGGACAGCTTTATTAATCTAAAATTGTTTGGTACTGACCATGAAGACTGTTGGGTGACATTTTTAAGAGCTCCTCTGTGTGTCTGCAGGGTCCAGATAAGGCTCGCTCTCAGCTCATTATTCTGGACCGAGGATTTGACCCCGTCTCTCCTGTCCTGCATGAGCTCACCTTCCAGGCTATGGCCTACGACCTTCTGCCCATTGAGAATGATGTCTACAAGTAAGTAAAATAAAATAAAAAAATGTAATAGAATACAAAATAATGATATAATATAATACAATGTAAAAAGAGATAATGATTAGAATATAAATTGTATTAAGTTATTTTAAAACAAATAATGTGCATCATTACAAATAGATTATTAGTTAACCAAGAACTAAATACAGTACACGTTTTACATTTTTTAAATTTGTAAATATAATTACATAAAAAGTAAATAAAATAAAATTGGATATACTGTTAGCATCTATCCAAATCAGCCTGAAATAGCAAAACAAAATTCTTTCATTGATCTTAGTACTCAATGAAACTACAGAAGAGCCAAGCTTTAAATATGAAAATGATGGAAACTCTAATGGTCTAATCCGTTTCAGTGATCTATGCTAAGCTAAGCTAAACGTTCTCCTGCCAGACCCAGAGATCAGCTAAATAGATTAAAAGAGGTATTTAACTTTTGAAATGAGCCTGTTTTCATAATAAAGTGTGTAAGAGTGTTTCTTGAAAAAACAAAATGAAAAAGAATCCTATACTGATCCCAAATCGTTAGTGTATATAACTATTTTTTTTTAATTACACATATTTTTTATATTTATTATACGCCTGGTTTTAGACCACATTTCATTAGTATGGTGTATGCCTCCTTTGCAGCCAATACAGCTTCAATTCATCTTGAAAATTACAAGTCCTGCTCAGTGGCCAGAGGGATTTTGAGCCATTCTTCTTGCAGAATAGAGGCCATGAAACTATGTGATGCTGGTGGAGGAACAAGCTTCCTGACTCTAAAACACCTCAAAGTGGCTCAATAATAGTAAGGTCTGGTGATTGTGCAGGCCAGACCACTCAGCCACCAGTCTTGCTGTGTGTATTGGTGCATTATCACCATGATACATGGCACATTGTCCTCCAGAATGATATTCAGTATAGGGATTGCCATGATATTGCAATCCATCACTGATCCACTGCCATGTTTTACTTTGTGCATGCAACAGTGGTGGTACGCTTCTTTGGGGCTTTTCCACACCTTAAATCTTTCAGATACTCTGGCAGATTATTTATCTATTTATATAGATATCTATTTATATCTATCTATCTATCTATCTATCTATCTATCTATCTATCTATCTATCTATCTATCTATCTATCTATCTATCTATCTATCTATCTATCTATCTATCTATCTATCTATCTATCTATCTATCTATCTATCTATCTATCTATATATATATATATATATATATATATATATATATATATATATATATATATATATATAATAACATTAGGAATAATATTCTGATCATTAGTCAAATGAATGCGTTTGCTTTGTACCTGGTAGGTATGACACCAGTGGAATAGGAGACTCTCGTGAGAAGGAGGTGCTCCTTCATGAAGATGATGATCTCTGGGTTGCCCTACGACACAAACATATCGCTGAGGTCTCTCAGTAAGTAAAGACAGATATTTTTCAACTTGAAGTTTTTGTTTTCCTGTAATATTTGCCATCTGATATGTTAACATTGCTGTTTTCTGTTTTCCCTCACACGCACAGGGAGGTGACGCGCTCCCTAAAGGAGTTTTCTGCCAGCAAACGCATGAACACTGGAGAGAAGGTACGCTGAAGGCGGTGGTCACGTTAACTGAAAATGTTACCTTTAACAGCAATGACGAAAAAAAAACGAAGGCTGTCCATCAATTTGGCAGATTTACACACTCTGTAGTCTTAAGCATTTTCCTTACAGTGATTAAAAAAAGTATTCACTACCTGACAAGTCTTGTCGTCAATCACAGTATATTTAATAAGCATGAATACTTTTATAGAAAAATAAAATGGTATTCTGCATCAGACTAACTAGACATTTTGTTGTTCTTTTGTTGCAGTCATTACTTCTATTGTTCTCACTTGTAAACAATGTAAACAACGTTATTCATGCAGTGTAATAAACCATAATATCAGCATACCTAATCTGTGTCTCTGGATGTGAGCCGTGTCTGGAGGCAGCGTCTGACCTCTGCTTTGCTGTCTTTTCCTCCAGACCACCATGAGGGATCTGTCTCAAATGCTGAAGAAGATGCCGCAGTATCAGAAAGAGCTCAGCAAGGTGAGAGAGGTCACAACTCAAACACCTCAGGGGAATCACTGTTCATATATTGACATTATTGACCAGGACAAAGCCATCATTTCACATGTGGGGAACAGAATTAGTTTTCTTTCTGAGCTGTAATTAGTGTGTTTTTATCTCTTTTTGTTTTGAATTGTGTTAGTATACAATTTATGATTTTATACTTGCATGTGTTTTTTAATGTACATTGTATAGCATTTACATTAAACAAAATAATATACAGTGGGCAAAATAAGAATTGAAAACGTCATGTTTTTTTTCCTGCGAATAATACTTCTGAAAGAGCTGTTGACATGGAATTGAACCAGATTTTGGTAAAAATCCAAACAATCCAAACATAAAAAAAATTTAAAAATCAGAAAAATGAGCTATATGTAATAACAATGGAATGACACAAGAAGAAAGAACGTATTTAATACTGTATATAAAAGGCTTTTTTTGGTGATGGCAGCCTCTCATATGGAAAATTAAGTCACATAAATTACTCAGGTGTGAGTTTTTCATGGACTTTAACAGTGTCTTGATGTTTCTGTGGGTCTTGTCTATCAAATCTGATCTTTATTCATTTACTTTATTGGATTCAAGTCAGGTGATTGACTGGGCCATTCTACAGCTTGATTTTCTTGCTCTGAAAGCATTTGAGAGTTTCCTTGGCTTTGTTTTGGATCATTGTCTTGCTGAAATGTCCACTCTGGTTTCATCTTCATCATCCTGCTAATGTAGATGTTGGACTGAAGCAGCTAATGTTCATTTACAATGAGAAAGGGCAGAGAGTTGCTGAAGAACTACCTAGAGATTTCAGCTGCTGTCTGGGCTTTCACTGCCTTTCTACACCTAACTTTCTTCATGTGTTCAATACTTTTTCCCTGTGTCATTTCACTTTATTACACATAACTTCATTTTTAAATTAATTAGTAGATTTGTTTTCTTTGCAGTTATAGATTTCTTTGGTTGTTACCAACATCTGGTGAAAATTTCAAGCCAACAGTGCCTTTAGAAATATGTTTTCTGAGAAAAATGGTAACATGTTGAATACTTATTTTCCTCCCGGGAATATTTGTCTATTCTATTCTATTCTATTCTATTCTATTCTATTCTATTCTATTCTATTCTATTCTATTCTATTCTATTCTATTCTATTCTATTCTATTCTTTAAACAAGTTCTGTCAACAATGAAAATAAAATCAAGTTTTATATTTGAATTATGTAACAAAAATAAGATAATTCTTTTTCCTATTTTAATCATAACTGCTACGGATCAGTTAAATTGTTACAGCAGCCTGTTACAGTATATCTATGTTGCTGTATTTATAACAAGAAAATGTGTTGTATTATTATTTTAGAGTACTAGTACTATTATTATCATTACTACTACTACTACTACTACTACTACTACTACTACTACTAATAATAATAATAATGATAATAATAAAGATGTGCAAATGACATTAAAAAGAAAGCATCCTCATTTATGTTTTTACTGTAAATGAAGCCAAGTAGGATTGTAAAATAATATTTGAATATAATGGTTTATTGAGTAAATGTAACAACTAATATACATTTTCTTCCCAAATGTGCTTAGAATATTGTGCATATTAAACTAAATCTGAACTATTTTATTATTTTAAAGTTTATTGTTAAAGTGAGCCTCCAACATTTTCACCATACTGTATTTATGCAACTGAAAATGTTAGCAGTCCTGATATCACTCATTACTCCCAAATTTTGTAATCCATATCACATTAAGACATATGACACTTACAAAACAGTTTTGAAAGACTGTGCATGTAGACCACCAGAGCTGCTAATTAAGCATACAGAATCAGACAGCATTTAAACTGAGCTTTTGAATGTGATATTTGAAGTATCTTTTATGCCCACATTACTCATCCTGTAAATATCTGTTTGTGTGTGTGTGTGTCTAGTACTCAACTCATCTGCAGCTGGCTGAGGATTGCATGAAGCACTACCAGGGAACTGTGGACAAACTATGCCGTGTTGAGCAGGTACAATCATATACACCGGCACACATCACTGAGAAAATCAAATAGAAAAAATCAGTTAGTGGAGAAATTAAATATCTTTAATGTAATTGTTTTAACATTCATGGCCACCAAACTGCATTATTGTAACATAAGGAGTCAAGTGACAACAAAGTTGAGGGTCCAAATGCAGTTTCTTCAATAGCTTAATCAGACAGGCAATGGTTAACAGGAACAAACAGATACATCAGGGTAATCCAAAATCGTAGTTGGTCACAGGCAAAATGGGCGATTATGGGCAGCAAAATAAAATACATGAGAAAACAAGGCAAAAGCACGACAAGAGTAGACAAGAGAATGCTTAAAAATGTTACAACAAACAAGACTCAAAAATATGTGTGTGAGAGTGAGGTTTATTTATAGTCCTGGTCATTAGTCTTCACAAGCTTCAGCTGTGTGTTTGCAATCAAGAAGAGAACTGGAACTGGTGTGGGCGAGTAGTGCATGATGGGATTTGTAGTTCATATCAGTGGCAAATTTGTAGTTTTCCAGCAATCTGCAACTGCTAGATCGCTGGTGATCGTGACAATTATAATATCCCTACTTATTAGTAGATGAATTGCAATTATTTGTGTCTATTAGTTCACTATATTTAAAATTTTTCATGTGATTACTTAAACACATATATGTTTATATAAAATGTTTATATATATAAACAGTATTATCATTTAGATCATTTTTATTCATGCAGATTGTGTTATCAATATTGGCACGGTGGCTCAGTGGTTAGCACTGTCACCTCACAGCAAGAAGGTCACTGATTCAAGTCTTGGCTGGTCCAGTTGGCATTTCTGTGTTGAGTTTGCATGTTTTCCCCGTGTTCGTGTGGGTTTCTTCTGGGTGCTCAGGCTTCCCCTACAGTCCAATAACATGCAGCATAGGTGAATTAAAAAAAACTAATTGTCTGTAGTTCCTGAGTCTGCATGTGAGAGTATATGGGTGTTTCCCATTACTGAGTTGCAGCTGGAAGGGCATCCACTGCAAAAAAAAACAAAAAAAACATACTGTATGCTGGAATAGTTGGCAATTCATTCCGCTGTGGCGACCTCCGAAATAGAGACTAAGCCAAAGGAAAATGAATTAATGTATTATTAATATATTATTAATCATTTATTACAAAAAGTTTGTAGAGTATATACTGTTTTGATGAAGCTGATTAATCACTCTTGCAAATAATATCGGTTTCAAATATATGTTTATTATTATTTTTTGCTGGATTTATATTTATAGGATATTTATATTATTTATATGATTATATGTAAAATAATCTTATAGATATTTAGACACAATATTGTTGGATTATTGACAAGATAATGCATTGTAGTTTAACCAACAATATTCATATGTATATCTTTGAATACATTTTAGGAGGATTTTACTCACGATTTATTTTGTTATTTGCTTGATTGCAATTGGACTGTATAATGCTAACATCATCCAGTCTTACTCAGTCTCTGGCTTTTAGACTGTAAAAAAGGCCAATATTCATCTGTCGCAGGCTGAAAGCAGCCAAAGTGAGAGGAGGACGGAAGTGAAGCACAGGAGCCGCTCGCAAAAGTTGCCCAGTAAATCACGATTCATTTCAATGAGCAGAGCGGAGAGAGAGAGAGAGAAAGTAATGAAAATGCCACAATGAGCGATAGATTATGAAGAGTGTGTCTGAAAGCTGTGTGGTGGAAGAACACTAAACTGACTTCACATTTTGGCATCAAATTAAATTCACAGTTTAATAAAAAGCTATTAAAAGCACGCAAAGTTAGCTTCAATGAATAAAATAACTTTTGTGAGCATTTAAATATCAAATTATGTACATTTATCTATCTTTATTCAGTGTGACATATAAATTAATGTACTTGTTCTGCCCTGTACATATTAAAATAAATAAAAGAGTAAGTGATTATGCATAATTTAATTATGTGGGGACAAATATTTAAAAGTTGATTTTTTAGGTTTTTTTTTGTTATTAGCTATTATTACGTTTAATGACAGTTTAGTATTTTCTGTAAATCATGGTAAAAATGTACGATAATCATAATTCTATGGTTGGGAAACATAAAAAAATAACCTGGATCCATTACTGGTTAAACTGATCTAACTAAACTTAAAAGAGTTATACACAAGTATCTACTATTTAGTGATTATGGATTTAATTTGGATGGCTCAACTACCAGTAGGAAAAGTATTAATGTTGATGCTTAAATAATCTGAAAGCTTCAAGAAAATGTCTTGTTTTTATTTTTTATTATAACCACAGAAGATAATGACATTGAAGGTTGACCATAATCTTATTTGTAGACCAAACTTTGTTACTTCAGACAGTTTAGTATTTATAGATTTCATTATGTAATTTTTGGATAGCTTAAAAAGGATATTTCAACCCAAAGTGAAAACTATGTAGAGGAAAAAAAAAACAGTTGTTGACTCCCATAGCATTTTTGTTACTATAGATGTCAGCATGATGTTCAACATGAAATTCTAAAAGTTTAGAACCCATTCAGTGTGAGTAAATAATAAGGAAATGTAAATTTTAAATGAACGATCCCTTTAACCATCAGTATACACTACCTGACAAAAGTCTTTTCGTCGATCACAGTTGTAAGAGCAACACATAATAACTTGTCTTCTAGTTGATCATTTGGAAAAGTGGCAGAAGGTAGATTCCAATGAATCATCTGTTGAACTGCATGCCAATCATCACAACTTCTGCAGAGATTTATAGATGCAGTCGTCCAAGCTCATGGGAGTCATACACAATATTAATTCTTTTTCGACTGCACCATGACTTTATATTCTCTACTGGACATTTTATCTAAGTGACAAGACTTTTGTTGAAGCAAAGTCAGACCTTACTTTCCTGATTATTTATTCATTCATTGATTTTCTTTTCGGCTTAGTCCCTTTATTAATCCAGGGTCGTCACAGCGGAATGAACCGCCAACTTTTCCTGCACGTTTTTACACAGCGGATGCCCTTCCAGCCACAACCCATCTCTGGAAAACATTCACACACACTCATACACTACGAACAATTTAGCCTACCCAATTCATCTGTACCACATGTCTTTGGATTGTGGGGGAAACCGGAGCACCCGGAGGAAACCCACGCAAATGCAGAGAGAACATGCAAACTCCACACAGAAATGCCAGCTGACCCAGCCTAGGCTCGAACCAGCGACCTTCTTGCTGTGAGGCGACAGCACTACCTACTGCGCCACTGCGTCGCCCTGTCCTAATTAAAAGATTAAAAATCAAGGCATGATCATATTTTATTTTGGTAATCTAGAGGCCTTTGCCTTTCATATAAGCCACTTTTGATACCAAATGATCAACTAGAAGTCAAGCTATTATTTGTTGTTCCTGAAACTAGGCAACAAGACTTTTGTCAGGGAGTGTAGGCTTAAATTTGTTGTTATTGATACTGAATTGATCCTAAAGCATCAAGGTTGTGTTACATCTTAAGCATAATTTATGTTTTTCTCTCCAACACCTGGCAGGATCTCGCAATGGGAACAGATGCTGAGGGTGAGAAGATTAAAGACCCCATGAGGGCCATCGTGCCAATCTTGCTGGATGCCAATGTCACCACCTATGACAAGATCCGCATCATCCTGCTCTACATTTTCCTCAAGAACGGTTAGAAGATAGAGAGTTTCGGGCGGTGATTTTAAACCTCTGTTTGTGTTTTACAGCCATTTTGTAACATGTCTTCTGTGTGGTGAAACAGGGATCACGGAGGAAAACCTTAACAAGCTGATCCAGCATGCTCAGATCCCTCCTGAGGACAGTGAGATCATCACCAATATGGCTCACCTGGGCGTCCCCATCATCACAGACGTATGTTACCTTCTTCCTGGATGTTAATCGTTGTACTGATTACTGGTGTTAAATGTATTACTATTTTGATATGTATTCATACTGACATTTGAAACAATAATTCAATTCAATTCAATTCAGCTTTATTTGTATAGCGCTTTTACAATGTAGATTGTGTCAAAGCAGCTTCACATAAATGGTCATAGTAACTGGATCAGGGTAGTTCAGTTTTAGTGTTTAATTTCAGTTCAGTTTAGCTCAGTTCAGTGTGGTTTGAAGTCATTATTGAGAGTCCAAACACTGAAGAGCAAATTCATCGATGAGTAGCTTTTCAGATCCTGAACCATGCAAGCCAGTGGCGACAGCGGATACAATGCACTTTTCCAGTCACTCACTTACAAACTGGGTTTCCATCACCATGGGCTCTATGATACACACGGTGTAATAAGGCGCAAACATGTTGCTATTTTCAGACCAACGCATCCTTAATTTTCCCGTTTTTCGCCACGTTGTTTAAATAAGGGTGTTCTGGTCTAGAAAAAAGGTGTGTTAAGGTGCATTGTTGACGTGTTGCTATTTTGAGGAACCAAGAAAAACAAAAAATTATATTTTCTATAAATATAAAAACTAGTACTTCTCTGCCTTCTTCACCTCTGCTTTTGTATAATGTTATTATTATTATTATACGTATTTAAAAGATTTATATTTATATCTGTTTTATTAAAAACAAGCTTAGATTTACCCATCTGTCAGGTTTTGGACAATATGGGGCATAGGACATGACTTTGGATATAACTTCTTAACTGGTCTTTTGACCAGACTTCATTATTATTGTTTATTTATTCGTTTGCTGGAAAATAGAACTGAATTTAGAAATAGTTTTTGTGCCGTGGCGCAGCACGTATTTTCCCGTCCTTAAAATAGAAAAAGTAGATTCGGACACGCCCTTAATGCTTTTGCACTCTGCGCCTTAGACTTTGCGTCTAGACCGTTAAAATAGAGCCCCATGTGTTCATGCACATTTTGAAGTATCGTATGAGAAACTAATGATGGAAATAGCACATTTTGAATAAAAATCCCTTAATTAGCAAAACAAGGTTTTTACACTCGTTTGAAGTTTTGGACTTGAAAAAGACTCTATTATGCTTACATGCTTGTTTACTGTTGGTTACTAGGTAACCAATACTACAGTCAGCTGCTCTAACAACTTGATGGGTTGCACCTAATTCTCCTATTGGATTTTTTATTTTTTTGTGACCTTTGAAAATATTGAATTTTTACAAGTTTCACAATTTTTGAATCCAGTCAGCCAATCTTCAGGTTTGACATGAGCACATTTACACGTAGGATGGATGGATGAACAGATAGATAATTTAATTGTTTCTCACTCAAAAACAACCAAAGAGTTTAGATAATTTTTCTATTCAAAGCTTGAATCTTTTGTAGTTACATCGTGTATTAAGGCCTACAGAAGATTAAAAGGCTGCTATTTTCTAGGTTGATATGTCTAAGAACTAAACTCTCATTTCAGTATGATAATCAAAGAACTTTGCTACCTTACCATGGCTGTATGGCATTTAAGCCACTTAAAGCATTTTGTTTTGGCTTTTACAGCTCACCACAGCCTAGTCTGTCCCAAGACTATTTATCCAAAGTTTGCACAGGCTTTTTTTAATAACTGGAAAATCATTAAACAGCAGTGGTTGATTCTGTAGTCAACCAAAATATATATTTCACATTAGAATTGTTTAAAAAATAAAGCTTTTATTCCAGCCAAACTAAAGAAAGAAGATAAAATCATATAGGAAATACTGTGAAAAATGTCCATGCTCTGTTAAACAGCACTTGAAAAATATTTGAACTACATACAGTAATGAGTTCACCCCATTTTGAAAATTAACATTTTTATCCATTTCACAGTGAAAGTAGTTAATATATTTTGGTCCATTTGAACAAAACAGAATTATTAAACAGATATATTTAATAAAATGACATTTTAGTGAACGAACATCTTTAGAAATAGAAAGATAATAAAATAAACTTCAAGTGATATATTATATTATATATAAAATACGTATATTTTTGCTTCTCTTGATTTTTTTTCTCTTTTTAAAATTTTTATTGAATATTTTCCCCTAACACAAATATTTGGGTGTACTCAAACAGTGATATAAAACTCCTTAACATTCATGCTTAAAGTTTTAATTTTAGTAAAATAAGAACTGAAGACATGCATAAATATTGTCACTTGAATTAGTGCTGTGGCAATACTATTTACGGTAGTCATACATTTCAGCCACATGTGAATGCTCAAACTGATTCTTTGAGTTTTCTGCTGTTTTTCTGTCATCTGCAGTCGACTCTGCGCAGAGGCAAGAAGATGGACCGTAAGGAGCGTGTGAGCGAACAGACCTACCAGCTCTCTCGCTGGACCCCGCTCATCAAGGATATCATGGAGGTCAATCCTGCTCTACAGAAACTGATGGAGAAACAGTGTATTAAGTGTGTGGTCTTACTTGCTTTTTGAATCTTGCAGGATGCTATCGACGACAAGCTGGACACCAAACATTATCCATATATCTCAACACGCTCTTCCTCCTCCTTCAGCACTTCTGCAGTCAGGTACATGTGCAAGTCACGGCTTTAGTTTACTAAACAGGAAGTAAAATACATTTAGATCATTTTTTAAGTCGAACAAAATACAGAGGAGCAAATCTTATTTTTAGTCCATTTTGAAGTCTTGATACACTCACCAGCCACTTTATTAGGTACACCTGTCCAACTGCTCGTTAACGCAAATTTCTAATCAGCCAATCGCATGGCAGCAACTCAATGCATTTAGACATGTAGACATGGTCAAGACGATCTGCTGCAGTTTAAACCGAGCATCAGAATAAAGAAGAAAGGGGATTTAGGTGACTTTGAACAAGGCATGGTTGTTGGTGCCAAACGAGCTGGTCTGAGTATTTCAGAAACTGCTGATCTACTGGAATTTTCACGCACAACCATCTCTAGGGTTTACAGAGAATGGTCAAAAAAAGAGAAAATATCCAGTGAGCGGCAGTTCTGTGAACACAAATGCCTTGTTGATGAACAGTAACTCAAATATCCACTCGTTATAACTGAGGTATGCAAAAGAGCATCTCTGAACACACAACACGTGCAATCTTGAAGCAGATGGGCTACAGCAGCAGAAGACCACTCTGTTAGCTAAGAACAGGAAACTGAGGCTACAATTTTTCACAGGCACACCAAAATCGGACAATAGTAGGTAGAAAAAACTTTATCTGGTCTAATGAGTCTCAATTTCTGTTGCGACATTCGAATGGTAGGGTCAGAATTGGGTGTCAACAACCTGAAAGCATGGATCCTTCCTTGTAGCAACGGTTCAGGCTGGTGGTGGTGTAATGGTGTGGGGGATATTTTCTTGGCACACTTTGGACCCATTAGTACCAATTAAGCATCGTGTTAACGTCACAGCCTACCTGAGTATTGTGCTGACCATGTCCATCCTTTTATGACCACAGTGTTTCCATCTTTTGATGGCCACTTCCAGCAGGATAACGCACCATGTCATAAAGCGTGAATCATCTCAGACTGGTTCTTGAACATGATAATGAGTTCACTGTACTCAAATGGCCTCAACAGTCACCAGAACTCAATCAAATAGAGCACCTTTGGGATGTGGTGGAACGGGAGATTCACGTCATGGATGTGCAGCTGATAAACTTGCAGCAACTGAGTGATACTATTATGTCAATATGCATCACCAAAATCTCAGGAATATTTCCAGTACCTTGTTGAATCTATGCTACAAAGGATTAAGGCAGTTCTGAAGGCAAAAACAACTCGGTACTAGTAAGGTGTACCTAATAAAGTCGCTGGTGAGTGTATATTATTTCAGGCAATTAAGCTTTCTTCCAAAATAAAATTTAAATTAATTAATTAAAAAAATTTGCAAATATCTAAATTATTGTAATATTGAGATGTTTTATAATCATTTATTATAAATTATACCTAAGACATAAATTATACCTTTAAATTATGCCTAAGACATACACACATCCATGTATAATTTAAATATTTAACATTATATAATTTAACTTTAGTATTGGCAGCGTTGTTTTAATATAAATATATTTTAGATATATATATTTTTTATAATTATTTTTTTTAGGGGTTTTCACCTTTATTGGATAGGAAAGTTGAGAGAATTGACAGGAAAGCATGGGGAGCAGAGAGAGGGAAAGGATCGGCATAGGACCATGAGGCGGAATCGAACACGGGTCGCTGTGAGCACTGGAGTGCATGTGTCGATGCCCTTACCACTACACCATTGGCGCCGACTAGATATTTTTTTTAATTCACATACCAGTTTAACAAATAAGGAACTCTTCAAAAAGAGGTTTAATAGGTTTTGCTCACTATCACACACACACTGAAAATGCAGATGCACTCATGTATTTTTTACCGCATAAGTAAAAAGACAGAAGTAACTTAAATCAATAATCATTTGTGCACAGAAGGGTAAGTAGAACACTGAGATCAATACCGTGATTGGTGGGTGTTTTGCGATGTAAGGTGGGGGTGAACACCAAGCACTTACAGAAGCAGTGGAGACTGGAATATTTCCTCAGGGTCAGCAGTAATGATCCCGGCACACTCTTCTGCTGTCAGGACAAACAAACTATAGCACAGCTCCTGTAAACAGTAGCAGAGTCAAAGCAGGAAGTCTCTGCCTCCCACACTGCTGACTCCCATTGCGCAGATATTAATTGGACTGAAGAACACCAGTGCTCAATGAGCTTGTAGATACTGTAACTCTGCTGTTCCTTATAAATGCACTATTTTATTAGACACATTCTTAACTTTATCTTATAAATGTGTAGAGAAATGTGGCAAAGATAAAGGATATTGGGTAAAAGATCTAGTGCAGTCAGTCTCTAACTGCTGCCTCTAGGAGGTCTTAAATGGTACTGCAATAACAGATACCTTCAAATGACTCATAATAATGCATCCATCATTGTTTACTAAAGCCGAGTTTGATTGAGCTGTGATTGTTTTCCATACTTTTTACCCTTGACTACTCCTTTTACGTGGAAAAACGGTGTGATTCATGGGTGTGAACCCAAGTTCAGAAGACCATGTTCATGCTAAGGCTAGGACACACCAAGTCCACGATCTGGTGTTGGGCTTGGTTTGTCCATTGGCCAGCATTGGTCCAGCTAGTTAGTTTGGTGTGTTCTACACGTCACTTTTCATCAGATTAACTTCGACGCTTGTTAGCCTTATTAAAAACTCTAGAATACACAAGACATGTCACTCCTATATTTATGAATTGGGAAAATTTGTAATAGTCAATATGGTGAATAAGGCTCTGCCTTCTAGTACAGGGGCCAATCACTGATCGCTAGAGACTGACGATTCTCCGGGGGAGGGCATCAAATGTGAGGTTCTGCAGATTTTGTGTGATTCGAACGTTTAAAAATTAACCTCAAGATACAGTTGTATAATTTCATTGGGGATTCCTAAAATGAAATTTAATCGTAAGCTTGGCAAGCAATTTTGGAGAATTTGACGTTTCCCCATTTAAACAGAATACCTGAGCCTACTGTCTGAGAGGCATTTAAAAGAAGGCCACAAAGTGAAATGATTTGCCTTAACGGGAGTTTGGCTTGATTCAGCAAGTAGACTTGCGTTGGCTGAAGAGAGTGCTCTGACTGGTTATTCATCATGGAATCAGAGCGCAAATGTGACAGTAAAGAGGCGTAGCAAGTAAACAATTCAAGTCAAGAAGGAACACAATGAGGCTGGCTGTATTTCTGAAATACTTGAAAACTATATGGATTATTAGCTTATCAAACCTATTTGCAGGAGAGAATGCCTCTCTGGTGAGAAACAATTACTGCGATAATGGCACTTAATGCTGCTTTGTTTACGTTTTGCTCGCGAACGTCTGAAATTCTGGTTTCCAGTTGTGAACAATAAAAAAAAGATACTGCCCTCTTTGGGTGCCCACAGTAAACTCTCTTGTCTCAGTCAGCTTTGGTTCATATTGTGTGTTCCCGGGGAGCTTTTTGGTCCAGACGAAACAAGACATGAGGTGACAACACAGTTGGGTTTTGTCAGCGCTAGTTGTTGCCGCTTGTTGTTTCTGGCCTTTAGCCGAATGAATGGGTGGTTTGGTGGTGTTTGACAAGGTGTACGCGATGTATTTGAGGACCGGGAGGGAGATGCGCAATTTCCGGGAAATCATCACTTGTTTCCGGGCATCCCGGAGTCTCTCATTTGCGGGAGACTCACAAAACTTCCGGGAGACTTGGGATGTATATAGCCGTATATATAGCTTCATATAGCCGTATGCCTATTACATATCTATAAAATACAGTGAAATAACTGGGCTAGGATCGTATTGCTTTCTCACTACAATTGATTCGCTCCAGAGTTGGTTTCAACTGAGCCGAGACAACCTCATTCAAATGATCTCGGAATGATTGTTTTGGCGCGGATCCGAGTGCGATTGCTGGATTCACATATGCCAAATGAACCGTGCTAACTGGGGAAAGAGACAGGTTATGAAACAAAAGTCTAGGTGTGAAAGCACCGTCAGTCATGCTTTTGTTAACCTTCAGTGAGCCATTTTTAAGACAGAACCCAAAGATACAAAACAAAAGATTTTTATGACACATATTTTGCAATTGAACTACCAAACATCCGTCTTGTTTTTGAGGAACATATCCCTAGTTGTTCCTAATAATTATACACTTGTGTGTTCTTTCCATGGCAGTGCCCGATATGGCCACTGGCACAAGAATAAAACCCCTGGAGAGTACCGCACAGGCCCTCGCATCATGGTCTTCATCATCGGTGGAGCATCCTTTAGCGAGATGCGTTGTGCCTATGAGGTCACACAGGCCAATGGCAAATGGGAGGCCATCGTTGGTGAGTCTGCTACTAAATATCACTGTATACTCAAGAGTTAAGCAACCACCCTTTAATGCTTTTAAATGATACCTTTAGCTTTAACTATACACGTGTTTTGTATAATTTGTGTAGACCGGCAAATCTGTCTTTTGTGTACTTTTCCTCGCTCTTGTCTTGTATTTTGTGCCTGTCATGTTTTAACTGCTTTTAAATTGCAGTCATGAGCCTCTGCTGTGTTCATAAGTCTATGTTCGTAAGTTCTTCTGTGTGTGTGTTTTGTGTGTGTGATAGGGTTTAAGTATAAGATTTGTCCTTTTAACATACCTTTAAGGCAGGGGTCTCCAACTCTGCTTCTGGAGAGCGACCTTCCTGCAGACTTAAGGTCCAATACACCTGTCTGTAATAAAAGAACTCTTTTTTTTTTTTTAGCTGGTTCAAATGAGGTTTGACTGGGTTTGGATCTGAACTCTGCAGGACAGTAGTTCTCCAGGAGCAGGGTTAGAGCCCCCTGCTTTAAGGCAGTGGCAGCCAAAACCAAAAAGTCCCAACCCCAAAAGCTCACACCAAGATGCTTATAGGTGTTTTTAACAACTAACAACTGTAATCAGGTGGTGAATCACGTGAGCCCCATTGTCTGCACCACTTCCATTACTTGTATGTCCTGAGCTACCAAGAACCCCTTTTTAGGGGGTTCTAAGAAACCCTTCCTGAAACAGATCTGCAGATGGTGGGAAATGGTGTTTTAATCCTCTTTTTTATCCTCATAAAGATTGAGGTTGGTGAAAGAACGTGAGGTGCAATGTGAGATTCATTCTGAGCGTGAAGCCACCTTTGTTCCTCCGCAGGTTCTACTCACTCGCTCACTCCAACCAAATTTCTAATGGACCTGCGGCACCCCGACTTCCGAGAATCTACTAGGGTGTCCTTTGAGGACCCTGACCCCTCAGACGAGTGAGAGAGAGAAAGAGGGAAGGGTGGGAGAGAGAAATCACACTGACAAAGTAAAGGCAGCCGATCAAAGAAACCCTTTCTGAACCCCCACAGCACAAGGGCTTTCTTTTCTTGCTCCTGTTACCACACTCTACCGTTTTACAACGCCACCACGCCTCAGGGATGGGTGTCCGGCTCCTGCCTCATCAAAAGGCCAACCTGCAAGTCTCACTCAGGCACCGCCCTTTACCAGGATCAGCCATAATTGATCTGCCTCCACTTCTCAAGTAAAACACAATTGGCTGGCATTGAGAACGCAGTGGGTGGAGCTCTTTGAGTGACAGATGCAGTGGGAGTCCTGACCCCATCCCTGTTGACCGCATCCTCTCAGTTGGGTGGATTAAACTGCATTCTCCTCACTATGCACCTTTTAATTCAATGGAGCCCCCTCTTTTGACGAGGAAGGGCTTCCTCCATTTGCCCTCCCAAATACCATTCTTTTAAAAGCTTCATTTTCCCGCAGATTTAATCTACCCTCAAGACTCACCATATTCCGATTATTTCTGAATAACAATCCAAGGCAATCACTCATATTAACTTTGTTTTTTTCCCCCCTCTGGAGAAGTAATTGCTTTGATGTTGGATGCCAGTTGCAGGATAATTTGGTTTTATTTTTTTAAACTAGTTCTTCAAACTACCTCACATCATGTCTACATGAACAAGTGGCCGTCTGCAAAGAATACTTGTTAAAATTACTTCCGCCAGAGAGCGACTGGCTCTTTTTTTTTTTTACCTTTTCTAATATTCTTCTGCAGATGCCAAAGCTTGAAATGTAGCTATGTTCTTAAGATATGCTTTAGCACTAACGCTTCCCCCAAAACACTAACAATTCAAAACCTTGGCTGTATCCTTTTCAGAAACCTTCATGTTATGCCTCAGGTATATTACATAAGATTAAACGGGACCACAACGTCACTCATGACTGTCAGTCAATGCAATGTGTGGTCCAAAACTGATCCATTAATCAGAGGATGTTTTGAACAAGCTTAGCAACAATTTATATTACACCAATGCAATTCATGTGCAGGCTTGGGATTCCAGTAAGTGTTTGGAGTTACTCATTGTAGTTTTTTCAAATCTATGGACAGGAATGTTCAGACTTATCCAGCAGACACACAACGTCATAAGACATTAACATTAGGTTAGATTTAGGTCACCAGCATTTAAGGACAATGTTATATTTACGTCCGATTACGACGTGAAATGACGTTGATATTTTATTGATTTTAGCTTGTGCTGGAAAGTGACCAAAATCCAGCATCAAGACAACATCTTAAGCCAACGTAATGTTGACTTTAAATGATATTTATTGGTCAGGTATGGCAATGTAAATCCAACATCTGATAGATGTCATATTGGTAACGTCCACACAACGTCAAGCTGTAACATCATTGGATGTTGATATTTGGTTGCGTTGGAAAGTAACGAAAATGTCTGTCTGACATTGGACATTGACCTGACATTCGGTTCAGACGCTAAGCCAATTTTTATTTCCAAACAAAATGCAACGTCCCACAACGTTGGGGTACAACATCAGTCTGACGTTCTGTGCCTGCTGGGTGAACACAAGTTTATGACACTCTGATTTACCACAGAAAATAATGTGCAATCTATAGTATCTATGGTGCATTGTATTGTAATAATGTCACAATACGCACAGATTTGAAAGAATATTAGTAAGGCTTAACAATAAGAAAAAAAAAACATTATGACTATTTATACCTGATATTGATCATGGATCATCGTCAGTTATATAGTTTGTATGCATCACTTCAGACAATCTAAAATTTCGAGAATGAAGCATGGGCGCAGCTTAAAAACAATATTTTAATGCATCTCAATTGGCAAGAAGCGCATCGTAAGTTTTTAGAAGTTTGTCCATGAAGTGCCATTGAGCTGTTTCTAAAGCACTGTACACAAATATCCTCATAACAGAGTAAACTGGTTTAGCCCAAAATGTGCAATACATTTTGCCTTTAGCTCTCTTTGATATTGATCATGGATCATCGTCAGTTATATAGTTTGTATGCATCACTTCAGACAATCTATAAATTTCGAGAATGAAGCATGGGCGCAGCTTGAAAACAATATTTTAATGCATCTCAAATAGCAAGAAGCGCATCGTAAGTTTTTAGAAGTTTGTCCATGAAGTGCCGTTGAGCTTTTTCTAAAGCACTGTACACAAATATCCTCATAACAGAGTAAACTGGTTTAGCCCAAAATGTGCAATACATTTTGCCATTAGCTCTGTTTGAGATCATGTTTGAGATACAACCTCTTCAAGCAGAACTCAGTATGCTTGTTTGGTTCGCTTTTAGTGCACACTTGAGTGCGACTGCTGCATTCACACCTGCCCAAACAAACCACACCAAATCAAAAAACAAACTCTAGTGGGATTCAATCCAACTAAATATAGCAGGTGTGAAAGCACCCTAAAGGATCAGAGAACCTTCTTCCATTGTCCAAGGTCCAGATCCGATGGGTGTGTTTCAATTGTAAGTTCTTTTGATGGTGGACAGTTGTCATAATAGGCAATCTGATTGCATTGTTGTGACCTTGATTGGCTTTTACATTCATTACCCTTATGCATCTATGAGAATTGGGTGCCGAGTTTGTGGTCCCAACTTGGCCCAATGTGCATTCTCAGCACCTCTGACCGAGCATGCCTCAATTCTCACTGTTACAGTTGCTTTGCTATAAAAGTTAGGCCCTTGGTCACTGAGATCTTTATTCCTGTCCATTTCTCCTATCCAACAAGTTTATTATAGTGACTAATTGTTATTAAGACCTTAGTCTCTGACCTTAAGTGATAATCAACAATATTCCCTTCACTTCTGACAGATTTTAAATACTTTGGTTCGTCTGGGTGTGATTATTTGAAATAGTTAAGGGCCAATCAAGTCCATTGGGCTACTTGCTCTATAGACGTCCATTATAAGAGAATTGCAACATAAAAATATTTTGATGAACAAATTTCTTTCTGTGGTAAATCAGATTCTTTCAGTCACATATAACTTGAGTTTACTCTGAATATTCAGTCAAAAAAAAAAAAAAACTGAATAAATTAACCCAACTATGAGTAAATCTAACATTTATATGCCAAGAAGTGCACAGAAACAATCTTCTGTAATACAGTGTTCTTCCAAATACTGTACCTGACTAAACTACTCACTAAACCATTGTACAGGAATGATCATTGCTCGACCCTATCAAGTGTCAGCCTGCTAAAGCTATATCCCTTTTGATTTCCCCCCTTTTTCAGTTGTTGTTTTGTGTTCGTAAAAGATCACACCATATGCAGTATGCCAGTCCTAACCCATACTGCAACATGAAACACTTTTTGACTGCTCCAGCCATTTCTGAACAAATATATGGTTTGTTTTCATGGATGTTTTGTTTTAGTCCCGTTCATCTAGTTGAACAGCTACAAATCACATTGTGTATTTGATTAGCGATGAGCAAAACTGCATGTTTACATGATAGTAACAGTTAGAGTAAAACTAACTTGCCTCTTTATGCTGGCAACCCAAGTTGCATTGTAGTTATACTCTATGTTAATCAATTGAGTTTTAGTTGCAATGTAATATTCGGAACATGCAGCTTTGCAAAACTATTTGTCTAGACGTGATTAGAATAACATTTGTCTCGTAGGGAACCAAATTATTTTAGTCCCTACATCTGTTTTTCTGGTGACCCTGCGACACAAATGTTTTAGGGTAGGTTGAACGTACAGTATTAGAAATGTGTTTTCAGCTAATTATCTACTAAAATTCTGTTTGTATTTACATTATTTTTATATTTAAAAAAATTATATACTGTACACACACTACTGACTAAAAGGATATTTTTTTCAATATCTCACCAAATATGCGTTTATTTTAACAACAAAGTCTTTTGCAACAAAATACATACAGTTGAAGTGGAAATTATTAGCCTCCCATAATTGATTAATAGGTTTACTGCAGTTTGGAAAAGTCATGGTTTTGAAACCACTAAAATGTTTTGTTACCGTTTCTAAGGTATATGTATGTTTTTAAATGTGTTTTTTTTAAATGTGTTGTAAAGAAATATGTGTTTTTAAAACTAATGAAGAGAGCAAAAGTCAATGATTTGTTTTAATTATTTAGCCTGACACGTTTACTGTTCCAAAATATTATAAATGTTTTCTAATATAAAATGTATTTTATGTATTGTGGGGAAAAAGTTATTTATTTTCAAACCCAGAGATATAAAAATAACTTATTTTAGAGTAGTTATCACAATAATGTGATATCGTGAATCTGTGATATTTTTATCCAAGGTTATTAAACTGTCAGCCTACTGTCATCATGGCAAAGATAACAGTTATTAGAAATTAGTTAGTAAAACTATTAAGTTTTGAAATGTGTTAAAAAAAATATGGTTTCCGTTAAAAAGTAATAATACAACTTACAATAATTCTGATTTCAACTATACATTTGAAGTCAGAATAATAAACCCCCTAAAATGATTAAACCCCCTAAATTTGACCTTAAAAAATTAATAACTGCTTTTATTCTAGCTGAAACAAAACAAATAAGACTTTCTTCAGAAGAAAAAATATTATCTGACAAACTGTGACAATTTCCTTGCTGTGATTTAAAAAAGATTTTAAAAATTAATTTCAAGAAGGGATTAATAATTCTGATTTCAACTGTACATTAATTATCATCAAAATAAATGATTATTTTTTATGTTTTTGTATTAAAAAACTTTTTTTTTCTCTATAATTTTTTACAGTAATCTAATACATCTCTGTTAAATAAAACTTTACAACCTTAAACATTTGAATGGTAGTGTTTAATTAAACAAAAATCTATAATAATAACAACATATCGAATTATTGAAATTTGATATAGATAGATACATAGACATATGGATAAATAGCTGACAACATATTGTTAAAGTGAATCTGACATGTGTGTGTACATTTCTGAATTTGTCCTCTTTGTTTCTCTCCCCCGGTGCTCATCTATGCAGGTTCGACCCATGTCGGCGGTCCCACCCAGCTTCTGGACGCTCTTAAGGCCATGAACAAACCCGACGAGGAATAAACAAGCTAAAAAAAATAAAAATAAATCACAACTTCCTCCCCAAAAACCCCCCATCGCCCAGTAACCCTCTCCCCCTCCCTCCATCCGTCACCCTGTAAATCTCCCCCGCTCCTATATAAATAGTGTATGCATCTTGCTTGAGAGAAAAAAAATTAAATAAAAAACAGATGATTGGTGACAATTAAAAAGAATATTCTATAAATTTATATATATTTAAATATATATATATAATGTTGAGATAAAATAACTGTTGCAAGTATTCTTCTGTTTTACAATGGATGCAAAACCATTAGACCGAGTTTTCATTATTTCAATTGCCATTTAAAAACCTTGAAAGTACCAAATGTTATATGTTACGGAACCTGCTAGAATGTGTAAATGGTAGAATTTTTGCATTCGTTCCTTATTTAACTCGGTGTGTTTTGTTTTACGTTTTCTTTGTTTGTTTTGGTTTAAAAGTGGTTGGGGGAGGGACTGGTTTGTATGCAAATAGACCAGTGAGGCAAAACGATGCATATCACTTCCTACACTGAAGGCTAAACTGCCGCTTTGGGTTTAATCGTTGTTTCATTTTAGATGTGCATGCCATGGACGCTACTATGTGGCCCTTTTGACATGTTTGAAAACGGTAACAAAAAAAAATATTAAGCTCTAGAAAAAGAAAATCAAGCATCTTTTTGGGACTCCAGTGATGAAGAGGAAGGAAGGAGGCCAACAGATCAAAAGCCTCAAGCTGAATAAGTGAAAAAGACACTGTAAATAAATATCCGACGTCACCCCTCCTTCAGTCGCGACTCCTGGAGCATTTACTCTCCATGTGCTTTTTCTTTTCACGTCTCCTTCCCAAGAGACCTCCTGATTTAGTGTGAAGAAGGCCGTTGCTTGCTGATTTTACGGAATTTAAAAAAAAAGGGCCAGTTGTATTTCAGTATTGTATCTCGTCCAATTAAAGTCTTATCATTGGTTAGTAAACAATGTTTAACCGGGACATGCACTGAGTAGCGTGTTGATGTATATGCCATATGTTACTGTTTTTTCGTCTCACTGTTGACTGGTGACAATTTCTGACTGTGAAGTAGTAAAACTTTCCTTTGCCGATGTGAAGCCACTGTGTTTGTGACGTATTAGCTGTAGATGTAGTGATAAACTGGGAAAAAAAATTATAATAGGTACTCTCTATCTTTGGTTTGTCCGTCCGTTTCTTTTCTGGTGCAATGTTAAATCTTCCACTGGCGAATGGCTTTGCAATGAGACGCAATCCCCCCTTTTTCAACATTTTATTTATTTTTTGGGTTTGTGTTATTCTGTTCTGGCAGAAAAGGTTGTATATTGCACTACGCGTTTTCTGTGATGCAAACGCTTTAATGGTTCTCTCTCTTTTTTAATTGCTACCTTAATTTTGGGTTTGCTGCCGTATAGCCGTGTCAACTGGATTGATTTCTATTACATTGCTTTTTTCAGAGAATATCAATAAATAAGAGCGTAGTCTGTCCTAAACCTGTTGATCTTACTGGGATTCTATGTTTGCGAGTGTTGAAGCACAAACTAAAGTATACTTTATGTGTACCAATGTACTAAGGCTGTCTAATAAATTGGCTTCCATTACAAATATGCAATCAGTACTTTTTTTGTGTGACCCCTATTGACTATAATAGGGTCAGATTTCTTATATGAATACATTCTGTAAGTGTATCAGTGGTGGAAATACTGAAAAATCATACTCAAGTAAAAGTACCATTACTTGCCTAAAAATGTAGTGCAAGTAAAGTAAAAGTATCTGTTGTAAATATTACTCAAAGTGTCAGTAAAAAAGCTTTAAAAAGTACTTAAGAGTAGTGAATAATACGCTGTTAAAAGCTGATGCATCTACATCTAATATGTGGATGTGTGTAAACGTAACATTCTGTAGTGCATCAGGTTTTTGGCCAGCAGGCACACAACATCATTAGACGTTAATATAAGGTTAGATTTAGGTCATGACGTCAGGTGACCAAAATTCAATGTCCAGCCAGCGTCTAATGACAACATAAGTGAAACAATCCAGCATCGAGCCAACATTTTAAACCCACATCATATTGATGTCAAATACTGACATTTACCAGGTATGACAGCCAAAATCCAACGTCTGGTTGAAGTCATTGTGGTAACATCCACACAACGTCAAGCTGTAACATCATTAGACGTTGATAGTTTTAGGTTGAACGTTAGACATTGACGTTGGCATTGATGTTGAGTTCTGACGTCAACTCGATTTTCATTTCCAAAGAGAATGCAACGTACCCACAAGGTTAGGGTACAACGTCAATCTAATGTCATGTTGACGTCTTGTGCCTGCTGGGTGTTTTAGGCCATTTCGGTCATCTTACAGTAAACATCTGTCATCTTCTCATCAGTGACATGCATCTAAACAGTCTCTGGGTCAATGTGGGTAAAGTTTTTGAGATTTCAGAGTGTTGTTAAATAGTCAACAAAGATATCAACTACCTGACACTAACCTAAAAAATAATTTTCTGGAGGTTTTAAAATGCTTGGGTCATATTTAATCCAGTGGAACAAAGGTGAGAGCAGATTTTAGGGTAACAGGAAGGTTATGCTCAATTGTACCCTGCAAACATTGGAATATACAATATGCAACACAGGGGAACATTCTATGATTTTTTTTGTTTGTTTGCGTCTTATTATAAAAGCTTAAATCTGGCAGCTTTTCACTGATATTATATGGCCAATGAGAATAATTCCAGACTAAATTTTGTGGCATGGACTATGTTGGGCCACCAACCTTAATGACAGGATTCTGAATGCATGACGCCCTGGCTGGCTCTCAAGACACATTTCTCTCCAAACAAACACCAGCAACTACATAGAGGAGGATTGAAGGTCCAGTTCTTTATCTTGAGAAACACATCAATCAACTGTGAGGAAAAATAGCAGCAAAAGACACTATATCAAAAATTAATTTATAGTAGTGAATATAGTATAAACACACAACTTTGTAAATAAAAAAATACATAAGAGAAAAATACTATTAGAGAATCTTATCAGTTAACTTGATGATGCCTAAAACCATCCATTTGCTCATTTATATATATATATATATATATATATATATACAGTTAAAAGAATCTCACCTGTTTGAAAATTATATTTAAAAAACGAGGCTATTATTAGTTCCATAAAAGGAAACTGACATCACTGCTGCTACAAAGTCTTGTTAAAAATGCTGGATTACACTGTACATGTATACTGTTATATATACACACAGATATACATGTCTAAAATAGCTACCTAGTTTTCAAATTTGGAATATCCTGGCTTCTGTAACACAAAAAAACTCATTCACCTACTACACTTTACAATAATAAAGAGTTAAAAATCGGTCACTGACAGGTTCACATTTACACTTTGAAAGTTAATCTCGATCTGTCACAGTGTAAAACTCCAAAGCTTATAATGACATTATCTAAAAACACACACAATTTAATTTAAATATACTGCTTACGCCACAAAATAAAAAGTTAATTACAATTCACAAAAGTTTGTCTTTCCTTCTAGCAATTTTTGTGTAATTATGTAAACTTCATGTGTTAATATCTTGAGTTTTGTGTTATATTTTTGCAAGTGAGATTACAATATATCGCAATTCAGGTTTTTTTCACCCACGAAAAAAAAACTGTCTAAATTTAATGCAAGATAAAAAAATAAAGTCTTTATTTAGAAATTAGGCAGAAACAGCCTTTTAATACTAAATCTAAATATTACTATTGCATATTAGTACTTTTTCCTTTCCAATGCAATCAAAATATTTATTTTTTATTCTTTTTTAAATATTTCTCAAATGATGTTTAACTGAGCAAGGGAATTTTTACAGTATGTCTGATAATATTTTTTCTTCTGGAGAAAGTTTTATTTGCTTTATTTCGGCTAGATTCAAAGCAGATTGAAATTTTTAAAATAATTTTAAGGTCAAAATTATTAGCCGCTTAGTCTACAAAACAAACCATTGTTATACAATAACTTGCCTAATTACCATAACCACCCTAGTTAACCTAATTAACCTAGTTGAGCCTTTAAATTTCACTTTTTTAGCAGTATAGAAGTGTCTTGAAAAATATCTAGTCAAATATTATTTACTGTCATCATGGCAAAGATAAAATAAATCAGTTATTAGAAATGAGTTATTAAAACTATTATGTTTAGAAATGTGTTGAACAGAAACTCTCCGTTAAACAGAAATTGGAGAAAAAAATAACCGGGGGCTAATATTTCTGACTTCAACTGTATTTAAGCAAGTCTTAAGTGTTTCAAATATTTTTTGAGGTCACTGTATTTCCATACCTGTAAATTGGTCACTGTATTTTCAAACCTGTAAATGCTACCATAACGCAGCTACTGCATCTACCTCTAAAAGCAGCTGTTTACCTGAGACAATTCACATTTTCTTTCATTTACATGTCATCAGTCACTACGAGATTTGGTTTATGTAAACTAATAAGTACAAACATCCCTCATTTCCATATGCAACACATTTAAGCAGAAGATCTAAATGAATAGATGTAGGTGTGTGTGTGTGTGTGTGTGTGTGTGTGTGTGTGTGTGTGTGTGTGTGTGTGTCAGTAGCTGCAGGATGCAGTGTGGAGGCTGCTGGCCATGCGCTGTGAGGCTTCTCTCATGTGTCTCGCTGCAGTGATGGCACGGGTCAAAGCGCTGCTCATAGAATCCTGATGATACTCCATGGAGGAAGAGCGTCTGCGGTGACCTCTGACCCCTGACCTCTCAGGCCTGACGGGATTTGATGAGATGTTGAGGGGTTGTGGGTATGCCGGTGGAGTCATTGGGCTGGAGAAATATCTACAGGAAAATGACAAAGAATGAGTAATCTGTTGTCAGTATTTAAATGATTTTTTTTCAGCAAGGACACAATAGAAAGTGAGATTTGCATTTTGACAGTGTGAAAAATCCATATATTCATTCATTCATTCATTTTGCTTCGCATTAGTCCCTTAGGGGTCTCTAAATGAACCGCCAACTTATCCAGCTTATGTTTTACACAGCGGATGCCCTTCCAGCTGCAACCCAGTACTGGGAAACATCCATTCAAACTTATTCACAGACATACACTACGGCCAATTTAGTTTATTCAATTAATCTATAGCGCATGTTTTTGAACTGGGGGAAACCGGGGCACCCGGAGGAAACCCACACCAACATTGGGAGAAAATGCAAACTCCATACAGAAATGCCAACTAACCAGATTGGACTCGAACCAGCGATCTTCTTGCCGTGTGACAACAGTACTAACCACTGAGTCACAGTGTCACCCAAATCTATATATGCGACATCAAAGAAATCTTGGACACTTAACCTTCATCTTATATTACGAATGTCAATTTTAATGTAATTTATTCATTTGCTTGGTCTAAACTACAGTTATCCTGTTATTCCTTATGTGCATATAATGGGGTGGGGGGGATGGGGTATATACAGGGTAATAGCTGTTAAAAGTACTTCTATCTGACTGTAAAATCTGATATATTCATTTTGGAAAATAGGATGGCCCGGTGGCTCAGTTGCCTCACAGCAAGAAGGTCGCTGGTTCGAGTCCAAGCTGGGTCAGTTGGCATTTGAGTGGAGTTTGAATGTTATCCCCGTGTTGGCGTGAGTTTCCTCCGGGTGCTCCCCCCACAGTCTAAAGACATGCAAAATAGGTGAATAGGATGAACTAAATTGGCCGTAGTGTATGAGTGCGTGTGTACAGTATGAGAGTGTGTCAGGGTGTTTCCCAGCACTGGGTTGCAACTGGAAGGGCATCCGCCATGTAAAACATATGCTGGAATAGTTGATGGTTCATTCTGCTGTGGCGACCCCTGATAAATACGAATGAATGAATTTTGTGAATAAAAAAATTATTACAAAAAAAAAGTGAGATTTGTGATGCTACTAAAGATTTGCATTTCAAACAAATCATGTTCTTGTAAACTTTATGCTCAAAGAATCGTAGAAAAAAAAAGATTCCACAACTCCACATTAATGCCAGTTTTGACTAATAACACAAATTATATCAAGCTATTTAGTGATGTTTGCATGTGGATTTATTTAGGGATATTTTGTATTGAAAATATGAACCCAAAGACTTACACTATACAGTCGGGTACCTATTTTTGACCGTCTTTGCCTCCTAAATCTTACATTCAGCTTAAATTATACTTAAATAATTTAGTAAATAAAGATGAAAACTGGGATAAGTTAAGTAACCATTTATCCAAACATGACTCATCTATTATCTGTATTATTTGCAATTTCAGTAATAAAATATACAGTTTGTGTCTGTCCCTGCTTTCTGGTCAAATGTGTTACATCAGTTATATGTATGTATGTACTGTATGTATATATGGGGCGAAACGGTGGCTAAGTGGTTAGCACTGTCGCTTCACAGCAAGAAGGTTGCTGGTTCAAGTCCCAGATGGATCAGCTGGCATTTCTGTGTAGAGTTTGCATGTTCTTCACATGTTGGCCAGGGTTTCCTGCAGGTGCACCGGTTTCCCCTACTGTCCAAAGACATGTGCTATAGGTGAATTAAATAAACTAAATTGTCCATAGTGTATGTGTGTGA